GTCCATGATCCATGCGGCTGCTCCCCATTTTCTGTGGCCGTTTGCAGTTCAGTACGCGGCACAGCAGATCAACCTACAGCCCCGGGTCTCCTTGCCGGAGACCTCCCCCACTTTGCGGTGGACGGGGAAGGTTGGTGATGCGTCTGCGTTCTCTGTCTGGGGATCTCGGGCTTTCGTCCGAGACTTGTCTGCGGACAAGCTGTCCTCTCGTGCTGTTCCCTGCGTCTTCCTCGGCTTCCCCCCTGACGCGCCTGGTTGGCAGTTTTACCACCCCACCTCGCGCCGTGTTCTGTCCTCCCAGGACGTCACGTTTGACGAGTCGGTTCCGTACTACCGTCTCTTCCCCTACCGCGCTGCCCCCCTCCCCCCCCCGCCGCTCTTCCTCGCGCCAGGTCCCCCCCCGGTAGACCCCCTCCCCCCTCAGGGTCCTGCCCCCTCAGGTGTGTCCCAGGTAGACGCAGTCGAGCCTGTCGAGGTAGCTGTTGACTCTGGTGCTGCTGGGGGTGCTGAGCCTGCGGGTGCCGGGTCTGGGGGTGCTGAGCCTGAGCGTGCGGAGCCTGGGGGTGCTGGGTCTGGGGGTGCTGAGCCTGGGGGTGCTGAGTCTGGGGGTGCTGAGCCTGGGGTTGCTGAGTCTGGGGGTGCAGAGCCTGGGGGTGCTGGGCCTACTCGAGTGGAGCCTGGTGGTGCTGGGCCTAGAGGTCCTTCGGGTGCTTCGTCCCGGCGGGAGCTACCCTCTCCCCAGGAGCTGCGTGAGTGGTTTGCTCGCCGCTGGAGCCGTGCTGCTGGAGCTGGTGGTGCTACCGGTGCTGGAGGTTCTGCGGCTGCTGGAGGTTCTGGAGCCACGGGTCCCGGAGGTGCTCGTACCGGCGGTACTGGAGCTGCTGGGCCTGGTGGTGCTGCTGGTGCTGGAGCTGGAGGTGCTGTTGGCGTAGGTGCTGCTGGAGGTGCTACTGGAGCTGGTGCTTCTGGGGGTGCTGGAGTTGGCGCTGCTGGAGCTACTGGGGGTGCTGCTGGAGCTGGTGGTGCTACTGGCGTTGGTGCTGACGCTGGGGGTGCTGGTCCTGTCCCTGCTGGTTCTGGAGGCGCTGCGCGGCCGCGGCCGTAATTCGTTCCGCTCCTTCAGCAGGTTCTTGGTCTCCCGCCTTCTACTGGTCCTGCTCCTTCCTTAGTGTGTCCACCGCCTGTCCAGTCCGAGTCACAGTTACAGCTCGCCTCCCCACTGCCTGCTCCTCCTCCCTACACTGGTCCTACTGGAGGTCTTGCTGAGCGTCGTGAGCCTGAGTCTCGTCCTGCGTCGCCTGTTCGTGCTGCTCGCACTGGTCGTCGTGTTCCACGTCAGCGTCCTCCTGCGGTCCCGGGGACGCACCAGATGGCACTGCGTCCTTCCACTGCTCCACAGCGTGTCCCTTTGCCGTCTCCTCCAGAGTTCTCTCTTCCTGCTCTTGCTGACCCGGAGTCTGACTCCCTTCGTGCTGCCAGTCCTACTGTCACGCGTCTCCTGGCTACTGTTGTCACTGACCCTTCCTTTGAGTCCACTGCTGCGTCTGCCTTAGTTGCTGAGCTTGTAGACTTCGCTGCTCACTGTCGTCTAGACTACGCCGCGAGTCTTGTTGCTGAGTCTGAGTCTGTCTGTCCTCCGTCCGTCGGGGGTGAGTGTGCTCTTGGCACGGACGTCATTGAGGACAGGCAGGAGGAGTTCTAGTGATTTGCTGCTGCTTTACCTCATCTCGTGTCCATGCTGCTTGCCCCTGAGGGAGACCCGGATGCACCAGACATCCCGACTCCGCGCTCTTACGCAGAGGCGATAGAGGGTCCCTACTCCTCTCAGTGGCAGACAGCCATGGACGCAGAGATGGCTTCCTGGAAGTCCACAGGCACCTACGTTGACGAGGTTCCCCCACCTGGGGCGAACATCGTCAGTGGCATGTGGATTTACAGGGTGAAGCGGCCGCCGGGTTCTCCGCCTGTCTTCAAGGCGCGTTACGTGGCTCGAGGCTTCAGTCAGCGGCAGGGAGTTGACTACTTTCAGACCTTCTCTCCCACCCCGAAGATAACCACTCTTCGGGTGCTGCTGCACATAGCCGCTCAGCGTGACTACGAGCTTCACTCTCTTGACTTCAACACTGCTTTCCTACAGGGCAGCCTGCACGAGGAGATCTGGCTGCGCCGACCTCCTGGCTTCACTGGGTCGTTTCCTCCTGGTACCCAGTGGAGCCTCCGGCGGCCAGTCTACGGTCTCCGCCAGGCTCCCCGCGAGTGGCACGACACACTAAGGACTACGCTTGCGGCTCTTGGGCTTGCTCCTTCTACTGCTGACCCGTCGCTGTTTCTACGCACCGACACCTCGCTGCCGCCGTTCTACATCCTCGTGTACGTCGACGACTTGGTCTTTGCTACTGCTGACACTGATGGACTCGCTCACGTGAAGTCGGAGCTGCAGAAGAGACACACGTGCACAGACCTGGGTGAGCTGCGCAGCTATCTTGGTTTGCATATCACCCGGGACAGAGCACGGCGCACCATTGCCTTGACTCAGTCACACATGGTGCAGCAGGTCCTTCAGCGCTTCAACTTCACGTACTCCTCGCCTCAGGCCACTCCTCTGTCTACTCGCCACTCGCTCTCAGCTCTGCCTTCGGATGAGTCCGTAGAGCCGAGTGGCCCGTACCCAGAGCTTGTCGGCTGCCTCATGTACCTGATGACCTGCACTAGACCTGACCTGGCATACCCTCTTAGCATCCTGGCACGCTATGTTGCTCCTGGGAGACACCGACCAGAGCACATGGATGCAGCTAAGAGGGTGTTGCGCTACTTGTGCAGTACGTCGGGCATGGGGCTCGTGCTTGGAGGGCGGAGTTCAGTGGTACTCACTGGTCACGCAGACGCGTCTTGGGTTGACGTCTTCACAGGGTTACACCTTCAGCCTTGGTTCCGACTCTGTTTCTTGGCGGTCTACCCGCTCGTCTTCTGTTCTCAGCTCCAGCTGTGAGGCTGAGATCTACGCAGGGGCCATGGCTGCACAGGAGTTACGCTGGCTCACCTACCTGCTGACCGACCTGGGAGAGCCGCCTCGTTCTCCTCCAGTTCTGTACGTAGACAACAAGGCCATGCTGGCCTTGTGTCGGGAGCACAGACTGGAGCACAGAACGAAGCACACTGCTCTTCGCTACTTCCTTGCTCGTGAGCTGCAGCAGCGTGGTCAGCTGCGCCTTGCTTACGTGGCCTCTCGGGCCAACACCGCTGATATCTTCACCAAGGCACTTCAGCCTTGTGATCATCAGCGCTTTTGTACTATGCTAGGTCTTGTGCCTACTTGGCCTCACTTGCTCACTTCTTGACTTTGCTTGTACTGTGATCTATATATACCTGCACCTGCATGCTTACCCTTGCTAGGTTGAGATCACTGCCTTGCTTGTTCACCTTGATATATAACTCTGCTTGTGAACTGGCCTTGTGGCCTTGTGCTTGTGCTCAGAATGCGTGGTGACGTTGTGATCCACCCTGAGCTTGTTTTGCTTTGTTTCTTCTCTTGACTGGTCTTGTGACCGTTTCTTGTGTTGGCTATCCCCCACTTCGCCTATGGGGGTGTGTCAAATTATATGTTTAATGTCATCTAGGCTGTAGTGGGTTTAGCCTTAGGGGGTACAGAACTTTGCTCGACACTTGTTTGTATCCCCCTCCTTGCCTAATCCTCACACACCTTCATACTACTCTCACACAAAATCGGAAGATTGTTAATACACCGGATTCTTTATATTGTACTACAGCAGGGGTCGTGGCCAAGTTCGAATTTTAAAAAAACAAGCTTAAAGTGGCTCTGCTGATTTTACGAAACTGTTAAGAGTACCTTGTCGCGGTCGTAAAATCCGGAATAAAACCTCCTTCTTATGGTACCAAAAGTGTTTTACAATTCCGAATTCCCGGTTTCTATTGTGCTTCAAACAGGAATTTTGCGGACACTTGGACTAGTAGCGTGCAAAAAGGTGTACGAATAACAATAGTTTATCGTTTTGACATTGCGACAACTGTTGATCGTATTGATGTCATGTCGGAACTTGCAATTTGTTGGATCGGTGCATAAAAAAAGATTCCTTGTCGCGATCGAAGAGAACCGACCTGCTCGTCTGTCTGTTAGCGAATGGCCGTGGTACAAATTGCGAACACAGAATTTGCCGGATACACGCGCAAACAAAAAACGCTCTAACAAGCGGAAGATGATGTAATCTCGTAGTGTGCAAATTAACAAAAAACCACTGTAAACATACTTCTAAATCGAACCCCGGTACCGAGTTTCTCAATACAGGGGTTTTCGTAAACTGGTTGCGACGTGGTCGCAAAGATCACGTCGCAACCGTTTGCGCGAAATCTGGACGTCAATTGACGTCTGCACACTGACACTCGCGAGAGCACGTGCTTCGCCAGCTGAATTGCGCCACGAATCTGCTCGGGCAGACTACTGTTTCACAAGCAGGCCAAACCTAGCCCTTGGGGCGGTGGGGGTTGTCTTGCTCGGCGCAAGCTTGCGCCGCTTCCGCGTGGGTCTAGTCGAGCTCGACCAGACGAGCTCGACCTGCCTTTTTTCTCTGGCAAATCCGCTCGACCTGCGCCAAAGACAATATAACTTCCCACTTCTATGACATTTGAGGTGAGCCATATGTTGCTATCTCTATTACTGTACATGTATGACAACCTTGGAGTATGACGCGCTGTATAATATCGTACTGCGTGAGCATTCAGCGAGCCAGTCCATCCGCACCTCACCCTGTCACCTCGGTTCTGCCCATCACCACCGCATCAGCACGTTCCGAATCGTCAAGGCCGCGGTTTCTAAGTAGCCTCGAGTGCCGAAGTAATCACTGCGCGACAACCGGGACTCCCGACCCGAGCTTCCAAGTCTCCAGCTTCCGAGTTAAATGGAAGACTGTTCAGAATGACCATGGCGGTTTAAAACCCCTTTTAGGCAGAGACGCGCCGCTAAGGAAGCAGTTATTGCCGCCGTGATGGCCGCTGTGTCCGCAGCAGCTACTGTGGGGCCTATTTACCCTCGAAGTAGTCACCTTCCGCTTATTGTCACATCCGGGGTATCTTCACGACGCAGCGCACTCAGCAGGAATCCCCGCAGCAGCAGCGGCGGCGGCAGCAGCAGCAGCCGTCCATTCGCGAACGCATGTCTCCTCTCTGCCACACCTTTCCCGCTCTCACATACGTTCGTTGCTCCCTCGAATTCCCGTTTTAGCAGTAACCACCCGTTCGGCCGCAATTGCCGGCTTGCAGCATCGGCGGTGGAGGGGAGTGTGAGCTCAGGGATTGCCGATGGGGGAGGTGAGGTGCAGGGCGATGGGGAGGATGAGGAGGGGGGGATGAGAGGGGAGAGGAGACGGGAGAGACGTGGAGTGGGGGAGAAGGCTGTGCGAGACGAGAAGGGCATTCCAGCAGAAATTGTAGAGTTGAGTATGGTTGAAACGAGTCAGATCAAAACGAGTCACGTTGAAACGAGTGCAACTGAAACGAGTCAGACTGGCAAGGGTGGCGGCGCTGGGAGCAAGAGAGCAGCCGTTGCGGCTGCTGTGAGAAGAGCCGCTGCTCTGGTGGGTACTGTGCCCGTTAAACTAAAGGAAACTGCTGCTCCGATAAAAGAGGTGCCTGGTAGGCTGAAAAGAGCTGCTGGCGTGGCTGCTGAGGCACCTAGAGCGTTGACAAAGGCCGCTGGTGAAGTAGGTCGCAAGGCAGGGCAGAGGCTGACTCAGCTGCCGGATTCTGTCTTTGACTTGGGTCAACGCGCTGGTCAACGGGTCAAAGGCAGGCTGGGAGACCTGGGAGGTCCCAAGGCAGGGCAAAAGCTGAGCCAGCTGCCGGATGCTGTCTTTGACTTGGGTCAACGCACTGGTCAACGGGTCAAAGGCAGGCTGGCAGACATGGCAATTCACAAGGCTGGGCAGAATTCGGGTCAACTGCCGTTTTCTGATATCAACTTGAGTCAACTGCCGGATTCTGTCTTTGACTTGGGTCAACGCACTGGTCAACACGTGAAAGGCAGGCTGAGGGATCAGGCTGGTGGGTGGAGGAGAAGACTGAGTCAACGCTTGGTTGACCAGTCCAGTGCAGCGACTACAGCTGGAGATGGGTTACTACAGGACGGGGAAGAATTAGGCCAAAGAGTCTCTGTAGGTGTAGCTTCGGCAGGTGTAGCTTCGGCAGGGGTTGGAGCAAGTTCAGGTTCAGAGAAAAGACGTCAGAAGCGGGTTAGAGTGCGGATTCGAACCTCGCTAACATCAAAAGAACAAGGGCAGACACTCAAGCAGCACGCACAGGCGTTGAAACAGCAGTCCCAAGCACTGCTGAAGGAGGCATTGAGGCAGAGAGCTGAAACACTTGCAGGCGCTGCTGCTGCTGCTGCCACTCCCGAAAGAATCCGGGCTTTAAGAAAAGCGGCCACTGCTACTGTCAGTGTCTCTCTGTTAGCAACCACTGCCGCTGCCGCTGCTGCTGCGGCGGCTGCTGCTGCTGCTCGTGGGGGGTTGGTGGTGGGTTCTGTTGGCGGCAGTGCTGCCTTTGCTCGTCAGATTGCTAGGAGAAGGTACGCTGCTGATGGTGGCGCCGCTGCTACTGTGGTGGTGGTGGGATGTGATGGGTATGCCACTGCAGAAGTGGCTGCCAGTGGTGATGTTCCTGTGTGTGGGGATGATTGTATAGCAAGTGGTTGTAATGGGGTAGAGAGTGGTGCTGCTGGGGAGAAGGATGGGGATTATAGCGAGGGGAGGCTTGTTGCCAAGGCTGGTGGTGTGACTGAAGGCAGAGGTGCTACAATGGAGGACCCACCTGACCCTACCGGACACTCCCAGGAGGTAAAGAGACCAAGGATGGAAGAGGAGGAGGAGGGGGGAAACAGAAAAGCCGAAGGGGTGAGGGAAGAGGAGGGGTGCGAGAAGAAACGATCAGGGGTGCAGCAGCTGCAGCAGTGGTGGGCGTCGATACTAGCAGCATGTGCCACTGCTCTCAAAGAGACAGTGGGGAAACAGCTAGCAGGGGGGGTGATGACCCATGCTGCCCGGTGGTTGGCTGCTGGAATCACTGTGCTGCTGCTGCTGCTGCTGCTGCTGGCTCTTCTAGTGGCTGCTGCTGGTGCTGGGAGGGGGAGGGGGAGGGGAGGGAAGGGTGGGAAGGGAGGGAATGGAGGGCTGAGGCGAGGAGAACAGCAGGCGGTGAGCTTTGAGTTGGAGAAAAAGCCGCTTGTAGGGGCAAGAAGAGTGGAGTGGAAAGGTGAAAAGGGTGCAGCGAGGTTAGGAGCGGTGGATTTTAGACAAGAAGAGGTGCTATGCAGTGCAGCGATGGATGGCCCAAGGGTTGTGCCGTGTGAAATGTTGAGAGACTGTGCGGTGGTTGGTGGTGATGCAGTGAAGCATGTGCAGCTGGTTGCTTGGAGACAGGGGATGACCGGACAGCAGCAGGAGGTGCATCATCAGCAGCAAGAGTACCAGCATGACTGTGTGGTGGGTGGTGACGCAGTGAAGCATGTGCAGCTGGTTGCTTGGGGACGGGGAACGACCAGACTGCAGCAGCAGGAGCATGCCGAGCAGCGGTGGTGGAGGGAGAAGAGTGGGAAGAGAAGGAGAAGAGGAGGGGCGAGCTGGGTGATCGATAGTAGCAGCAGTAATAGCCATAGTGATAAGGAGAGAATGAGCCGGCACAGGGCATGGGAGGGAGGCAAGGAGAGCGTTGGAGCGGTGAGTGGAGAAGCAGGACCAGTCATGGAAGTCAATCAAGTCAACGGGGGTAGTCAAGAGGGAGTCAGTACGAGTAAATCCAGAAGACAGGAGAGGGACGAGGCAAGGAGGGTAAGGGAGGAAAAAAGGAAGCGGGAGAAAGAAAGGGAGAAGGAAAAGGAGAGGGAACGAGAGAGGAAGAGGGAGAGGGAAAGGGAGGCGCTAGAGTATGAGATATGGCTGCAGGGGGTGTGGGATGAGGCAGTAGCGCGGGGCATATCGGAGGAGACAGTGAGGGAGGCTTTGGAAGGGCTGCAGCCGCTGCCTGCTGTGGTGTCCAAGGTGACTGGTGCCGCGGAGGTTGTGCTGACTGCACGACAGTATGTGGACAGGTGAGGTCTCGGGAAGGTTGATTGAATAATCAGTGTGGGAAGATGGTGAGGTGAGGGAGGCATTGGAATGGCTGCAGCCGCTGCCTGCTGTGGTGGCTAAGGTGACTGGTGCAGCAGAGGTGGTCTTGACTGCACGGCAGTATGTGGCCAGGTGAGTGTAAAGAGCAAGGGATGGTGAGTAATATATGCATGCAAGGTAACACGGGGCGTTGGAAGGGCTGCAGCCGCTGCCTGCTGTGGTGTCTAGAGTGACTGGCGCCGCGGAGGTGGTGCTCACTGCACGACAGTATGTGGCCAGGTGAGGACTGGGGAAAAAGAGAGGGAAGGAGAAGGTAACCAACAAGTGGGAAGTACCCAACAAGAAGGTATCACTACGCGCATGTATCCATCCCTCCCCCATGCTTGTCATACTTGATGGGTGCACAAACGAGGTCGTCACGTGTAGGTTTGTGGGCATTAGTATATATTCTGTTCATCCCCTATTCTTGAATGGGTTGGTTCAATCGTGGGTGCACAACACAGGATGGTGAGTGATGCACGGGTGCTGGAAGGCAGGCAGGTGATGGAAGCTCACCGGAAGCTTCTGGCGGAGATTGAGGAGATCTACGGCGTGCCGGCCAATGTGATGACTGCGCTGTGGGGCATAGAGAGCAGGTATTGTAACGAGGATGGGCGTTATAACGGGGATGTGTGTTATAGCAAGGATGTTGTAACGAGGATGCATGTGTTGATGGCATGTATGCATGTGACAACATGGGATGCAAGAACATGCCATGGGCCATGGTGGTGCATGAGAGACGGGGAGTGGTATGAGGGTTCATATGTACTTGAGAAACATGTAATGCACGGACATGTAGTGCACTCAACTCGATAGTTGTGCTTTCAAGAGTCCTTCAAAGCGACTCAGGTTTGTTGCTGACCTGTGTTGTGTGACTGCTGACGTGGCAGCTATGGGAAGAACATGGGCAAGTGGGATGCCGTTCAAGCTCTGCTCACCCTCGCATATCGTACGAAGCAGGTGAGAGGTGGTGTAGTGTGGTGTGGGTGTGGTGTGGTGCGGTGCGGTGCGGTGCGGTGTGGTGGTTCAGTTCAGTGTGCCCCAGTGCAAGTGGATGCCATCCAGGCTCTGCTCACCCTTATGTATCGTACGAAGCAGGTGACATGTAAGGTTGTATGGGGTAGTGTGTTGTGGTGTGGTGCTTTAGTGCGCTTTACCCAATATTTTACTCAATATTGTACTCAATATGTTTTTCCTATTTTCACCTGATTTTTCACCTGATATTTTACATGATGTTTGACACAATCGACCCGCTCCACCCCATCAGGCACACACCTTTCTCTTCTCCCTTCCCTTTCCTTCATCCAGCCTCGCCGTGCTGCATTCTTCCGGGAAGAGCTAATGGAAGCGCTCTCTATCCTTGAGAACAACCACGGGCCTCTCAGAGCAGCACACTCCCACCAGCGCGATCCTTTTCTCCTCCCTTCCTTTTTCTGTCTGCAGCCTCGCCGCGCCGCATTCTTCCGGGAAGAGCTAATGGAAGCGCTGTCTATCCTTGAGAACAACCACGGGCCTCCCGTAGCAATCCAGAGCCTTCCTGCTGCTGCTGCTGCTGATACAGCTGCAAGCGCAGTGGGAGAGAGGAGGGTGCGGCTGCTAGGGTCGTATGCAGGGGCCATGGGGCAGTGCCAGTTCATGCCGTCGTCCTTCAAGGCCTATGCTGTTGACTATGATGGAGATGGGAGAAGAGGTGAGGTGGGGGAATTGAGAGTAGAGTTGCTGGGGTCGTATGCAGGGGCCATGGGGCAGTGCCAGTTCATGCCTTCGTCTTTCAAGGCTTATGCGGTGGATTACGATGGAGACGGGCGGAGAGGTGAGGTGGGAGCTTGAGAGTAGAGCTCACATGTAATATGTAAATAATACGTGCAATGGGGAGGGCGCAGTTGCTGGGGTCGTATGCAGGGGCGATGGGGCAGTGCCAGTTCATGCCATCATCTTTTAAGGCGTATGCTGTTGACTACAATGGAGACGGGCGGAGAGGTGAGCAGGTTCTGAGTGTGGCGCTTACTTATACCAGAGCTACGGTGTAGTCGCGACGCGAGGGCAGAGGGAACTGCGGTTGTTGGGGTCGTATGCAGTGGCTATGAGGTGGATTACGATGGAGATGGGTGGAGAGGTGAGGCCTTGCATCCATAGGCAATCAGCTCATCATCTTGAGTCGCCCTGTGGCAGTCACATCATGTTGCCCTGTCATCTATCTCATATCCGCCTCTTGCCCCTCTCTCGTCTTTCCTGCTGATCGCCTCCCTTTCGTTGCAGACATCTGATGTTTGATTTCTTCAGCTCTGTCCTCTCGTCTTCCTCTCTCATTTTGCCTCTCAACTCCCATTCTCATCTCGCCCCTTTCGAAGCAGATATTTGGACTTCCATTCCCGACGTGCTCGCATCAATGGCAAACTACCTCAAGTGCAACCGGTGGAAACGAGGGGAGCCAGTGGGGGTTGAGGTGAGCAAAGCGGCAGTTTATGTGTTTCTTCAAGAGCCAGTGTGTTCCTGTGTTGCTGCGTTGCTGTGTTTCTGTGCACGCACTAGCATCAATTGCACACTGTCTCAGATGCAACCGGTGGAAACGAGGGGAGCCGTTGGGGGTTGAGGTAAGAGGCAAACTCTCTGGTTCTTATGCTTCTCTCATATCCCTCTTATGCTTCTCTCATGCTTCTCTCATGCTTCTCTTATGTCCCTCTCATCGTTCTCTCATGGCAGCAGGGAGTTGGAAATAGCCCTTATTCATTGAGCGAATCTCCCTGCCCCCTCGTTCCCCCTCTCAGGTGGTCCTGCCCCCCGACTTCCCGCCTTCGCTCTTAAAGCCCGCCGTGAAACTCACAGTGGCGGAGTGGCAGCAGAAGCACGGAGTCAGAATTGCTGATGGAAGTAATGCCACCGGTCGGAACGTTCCGAGTAGTGGAAGCAATGAAAGCAATGAAAGCGATGAAAGCGATGGAAGGGATGGAAGCAGTGCAAGTGCTGCCACGAATCTGCCTCCTGACATGATCGCCAACCTCGTATGCCTCTTGCTGCACTCCCTTCCGTTTGCCAATGCATCCAACCTTCTCCTTCTCACCTACCAATATTTGATACTTTCGTTCACCCTGCTGCACTGCTCCTGTATTGCTGAGTGCTCCTCCTTAACCACTGAATGTTTTCAGCTCTTGTGATTTTGAGGCACTGATCATCGGCGCGTTTCAAAAATGACTGCTTCCTCGTCCCTCAAGTCTAGGGCCATGCTTTCTCCCTCCCTTGCACAGCCCATTGCTCACTCCACTTCTTCCTTTCTCTCCTGAACTGTGCACCATGGTTGCTCCTCCACCTGCCGTCCATCTATCCCACCCCACCTACCCCAGATCGCACCTGACGGTCCAGCTGGCGTCGCTTACCTGGCATGCCACAACTTCCACGTCATCCTGCGCTACAACCCCGCCAAGCTGTACGGCCTGGCCATTGCTGAGCTGGCACGCAGACTGGGGTAATCAAGGAGAATTTTGTTTTGTGTGGTTTTTAAAGAATGCGCACGTGTGCCTCACTGGGGGAACTATTTAGACTGCTCTAAAACTGGAGAGAAAATAAAGATTACTCCTCTGTTAGGGCGTGTTCCTACGCCTCTGATCAGACTTGCCTGGTAAAATGCGCGAAGGGTTTTGGGTTTACATGAATTTCAGTGTGATGTGACGCGAGCCTGCAGCCAGGTCTGTCGAGGCAGACAGGTGTGTGCTGGGTGGGTGCTGTCTCCACAGACCTGGCTGCTTCTCACCTTTCCAAGACACAGCGTAATAGCCACGTGCTGGGTCAGGTCGAAAGTCCACCAGGAATGCAACTTTATCTTTCAAGCTCCAACTGCAAAATACTGTCACTGGAAGAAGTTACAGACACCTTCACTCGACTACAGCCTGAACAAATAACGTGCTTCGTTTGTTATGTCTACAGCAATCAATTGGCACAGGCGACTCTCAAGGTCGGGTCAAAAGTCCGCCGGGAATGCATGTCCTAGAGCATCCACTTGCCAGAGAAACAACAGCTCGAATCCTGCTACACGATTGCAATGCACAAAACCTACCGTAATGCATTTGTCCCTCTAAATACACCTAGCATGTGAGCGTTGCTTTCAAAAGGGTGGTATGGTAACTCTCACGAGTGTAGCCTCCACATGTGTCAAATCTTATAGGGATGCCTGTAAGGTATCCCTGTAGGGACCCCCGTAATGTCTCACAGGTGTACCCCCGTAGGGATAAATGGCAAGTTGGCAATTGCCAGTGAGACTCAAGACTCAGTCATCGAGGTAGTAGTAGGTGCCGGCATTCTTCTGCTCGCGGTCCTTCACAGATTCCATCTTGTTGATTCGCGGCCGGAAGTTGGTGGGGTCGCGCCTGAATGTGATGTCCAGTTGCTGATTGGATGGGGGAGAAAGGGGGTGAGAATGTGGGCGGGTGGTGGGTGTGGGGAGAGGAGAGAGGACAGAGGTGCCTTCTGCTCGCGGTCCTTCACAGATTCCTTCTTGTTGATTCGCGGCCGGAAATTGGTGGGGTCATGCCTGAACGTGATGTCCAGTTGCTGGTGGTGGGGGGGGGGGGAGAGAATGGGGTGGTGGTTGGTGGCACAGGAGCGAGAACAGTGGTGTGAACGGGAATGAAAAAGCTCCCATGTGTGCCGGCGGCCTTCTGCTCGCGGTCCTTGACAGATTCCATCTTGTTGATGCGCGGCCGCAAGTTGGTGGGGTCCCTCCTGAACGTGATGTCCAGTTGCTGATGGGGTGGGGGGAGGGGTGTTGATGGTGGGGGGGGGGGACAGAAGAGACAACAGGGGTGAAAACGGGAGTGAGAAAGGGGTCCAAGAGTGCACCCTCCAAGGGTACAGCTCCCATGTGTGCCGGCGGCCTTCTGCTCGCGGTCCTTGACAGATTCCCTCTTGTTGATGCGCGGCCGCAAGTTGGTGGGGTCCCTCCTGAACGTGATGTCCAGTTGCTGATGGGGTGGGGGGAGGGGTGTTGATGGTGGGGGGGGGGGACAGAAGAGACAACAGGGGTGAAAACGGGAGTGAGAAAGGGGTCCAAGAGTGCACCCTCCAAGGGTACAGCTCCCATGTGTGCCGGCGGCCTTCTGCTCGCGGTCCTTGACAGATTCCCTCTTGTTGATGCGCGGCCGCAAGTTGGTGGGGTCCCTCCTGAACGTGATGTCCAGTTGCTGATGGGGTGGGGGGAGGGGTGTTGATGGTGGGGGGGGGGGGACAGAAGAGACAACAGGGGTGAAAACGGGAGTGAGAAAGGGGTCCAAGAGTGCACCCTCCAAGGGTACAGCTCCCATGGGCGTGCCGGCGGCCTTCTGCTCGCGGTCCTTGACAGATTCCCTCTTGTTGATGCGCGGCCGCAAGTTGGTGGGGTCCATTCTGAACGTGATGTCCAGTTGCTGGTGGGGGTAGGGGGTGGGGGGGGGGGTTCGAAGAAGTGAGCATGGAGGTGACAATATAGAATGGAATAACTTGCTTAGTACAAGTGCAAGTTGGTGAATTTCTGCTGGTACGTGTTAATAACTTGCTGGTGGGGTGGGAGGGGGGAAGGAGGATGGGGAAGGGGGATGGGGGAGAAGGGAGGGGGGGGTTGCAGGATGAGTATAATGGTGGGAATCAGGGTGAGCATACGGGTGTGTGTTGGGGTGAGAACAGCAATGAGCATCAGGATAACAATGGGTAAGGCACACAGACGTTGGCATGGTCCTTGCAGAATGTGAACCAGTCGTGAACCCAAGTCATGAGCCCCAGTCATGAGCCCCAGTCATGACCTTGCAGGGTATTTCTGAGAATTCTAAAAAATACCCGGAAACCCGCAGCCTCGACGTTTGAGAAATCAAAAAAATCACATCTGACCATGAACGTGAAAATTACAGGCTGAATGGCATACCGAGAGGAAGAGGTTCATTCCGCTGTTGAGCGACTGGGGCGTGCGAGCAGTGCAGTCCACAGACGGCTGCCCCTCGTACACAATGACCCGGTCCGCCAGGTACGTGGCCATGATGAAATCGTGCTCATGGAGGGGGGGGAGGGGGGCTCACTCACACAGCAAGAGAAAGAGAGTGTCTCACCGAGAGGAAGAGGTTCATCCCGCTGTTGAGGGACTGGGGCGTGCGCGCCGTGCAATCCACCGACGGCTGCCCCTCGTACACGATGACGCGGTCCGCCAGGTACGTGGCCATGATGAAGTCGTGCTCCACCACAAACGCTGTCTTCTTGGCGTGCAGGATGAACCGCTTGATCACCTTGGCTGCCACGATGCGCTGCTCTGAGTCCAGGTAGGCCGAGGGTTCGTCGATCAGGTAGATGTCGGCAGGCTGGTGGGAAGCAGCACAGGGGGAAGGGGGGGGGAGTGTGGGGAGAGAGGGATGAAGCGCTTGATGACCTTGGCCGCCACGATGCGCTGCTCTGAGTCCAGGTAGGCCGAGGGTTCGTCGATCAGGTAGATGTCGGCGGGCTGCATTCGGGAAAGGGAAGAGGGAGCCAGAGGGAAGAGGGGAATGCCAGTGCAGGATGGACCTCTTGATCACCTTGGCCGCCACAATGCGCTGCTCCGAGTCGAGATGGGCCGAGGATCGATCAGGTAGATGTCGGCAGGCTGGAGAGGGGAGGAAGGGGAAGAGGGAACTAGAAGGAAAGAGGGCGAACGAGGGGAGCAGAGCGGAGGGGTGAAGCGCTTGATGACCTTAGCCGCCACGATGCGCTGCTTTGAGTCAGGATGGGCTGAAGGCTCGTGAGAAAGAAGGGGTGGGAAGAGGAGGAGCGGAGATGGAGAATGGAAGGGAAGATTTTTGCAGAGGGAGAAGGGGGAGTGTGGGTGGAACAGGTTGAACAGCTTGATCACATTGGCTGCTACGATGCGCCACTCAAAACCTAACAAGGAGCCAGTGGGATTGAACCATTCTTGACTTCCCGAGACAGAGAGTCTGGCCACGCGCTGCACTTCCCCCCTGATGAATTCCACACCTCCTGGTCTAACAGCGGGTCGATCTACATGGGGCGCAGCACGTCCGTGTTGGACTGAGGGTGGTGGGAGGAGGGAGGGGTCCCACCACCATCCGCCCCTGGACACACCTGGTTGGCCCGTACCACATAGCTTTCCGAGACAGTGATGGCCACGCGCTGCAGCTCTCCTCCTGACAAATTCACCACCTCCTGGTCCAACAAAGGATCGATCTGCATGGGGCACAGCACGTCGGTGTTGAACTGCGGGTGGTGGAAGGAGGGGTGTGCCCCACCACCACCCACCCAGCTCACACCTGTCTGTGTGCCCTTTCTCACCTTGCCAAGGCAGAGGGTAATAGCCACACGCTGCAGCTCCCCACCAGACAGGTTCACCACCTCCTAGTCCAGGAGGGACTCGATCTGTATGGGGCGCAGCACGTCCGTGTTGAACTGCGGGTGGTGGGAGGAGGGGGGTCCCCCTTCCACCCACCCACCCACCCAGCTCATACCTGTCTGCTCCTTCTCACCTTTCCGAGACACAGCGTGATGGCAACGCGCTGCAGCTCCCCACCCGACAAGTTCACCACCTCCTGGTCTAACAGCGGGTCGATCTGCATGGGGCGCAGCACGTCCGTGTTGAACTGCGGGTGGTGGAACGAGTCGCGGATCTTGGAGTGCAGCAGCGCGCGCACGCTGTGCGGGAACTTGGGGCTGATCTTCTGCGGCTTGTACGACACGTTGAACTCCGGGAGATCTTCCGCTTCCTTGCCGGTTTCCTCGTCCGGGTCCGACTTTAAGAGACCAGCCTGTGTGATAGGAGGGACATGGGAGATCAAAGAGGGAAGGGAAGGGGAAGGAGAATGAGCACGGGAAGGGGAACTTGGGGCTGATCTGATCTTCTGCGGCTTGTACGACACGTTGAACTCGGGCAGGTCCTCGGCCTCCTTGCCCGTCTCCTCGTCCAGGTCTGACTTTAACAGACCCGCCTGCAAGGGATGAGAAGCAGACAGGACAGGAGAGGGGAGGGAAAGGAGTCGGGGAAAGAGAATCGAAAGAGGGAACTTGCGGCTGATCTTCTGCGGCTTGTACGACACGTTGAACTCCGGCAGGTCCTCGGCCTCCTTGCCGGTCTCCTCGTCCGGGTCAGCCTTTAAGAGACCAGCCTGTAAGGGGTTGAGAAGGACACAGGAGAGCGGAAAGGAGAGGAACGAGAGGGTATGAGAGGGGGAACTTGCGGCTGATCTTCTGCAGCTTGTACGACACGTTGAACTCGGGAAGGTCCTCAGCTTCTTTCCCGGTCTCCTCGTCTGGATCTGCCTTCAAGAGGCCGGCCTGGAGGGGTTCAGAACGAGACAGGAGAGGAGAGGAGAGGAGGGAGGGAGGAGAGTAAGGCAGGGAACTTGGGGCTGGTCTTCTGCGGCTTGTACGACACACTGAACTCGGGGAGATTCGCCGCCTCCTTGCCGGTTGCTTCGTCCGGGTCAGACTTTAACAGACCCGCCTGGGGAGAAAAAGGGAGAGGAGG